GTGACTTTTGAACTCGGTCTTGAATGCTGGGTAGAAATTTGCTATGTGGAAAGTAGATGATAGGAATGGGCAAGGAAAATGTAATTCCTGTAATCCACAGTGTGTCAAATGAAATAATAGCATCTTTTTTGTTGTTACTGTTAAACTACTGGAAAAAAAAAACATTTTATATGGCTGCAGAGAATGTAGAGTACCTGGAGAAAGAAGGACAGCAGATTATTCAAAGCACTGTGTTACGCAGAGGAGTTTGGAGTTTGGATTTATCCAGCCGAAAAAAATAAATAAGTAAATGTAAAGCCATGGAAGATTTTTACTATATTTGTGTTTCAGAAAGAACATTCTGGAGAAACATGTGAAGGCTGAAATAGAGATAGACAAGACATGAGACTTTTGTTAAGAGGCAAGAAATAAGAAGGCTGAACTAAGACAGGAGACAATAGAAGAGAGAAGTTGGTAGATATTTCAGATCAGAGCACAGATGGACATAAGCCATGAGGAAGAAGAGTGTCTACGGTCTTTAGTGTTTGCTACCACTTTGAGTTTTTAGTATAGGGAATTGATGCCAAGGGGAATACACCAACAAATTCACAGAATCAATGATAGATAAATCCAATCATCAAAACCAAAGACTTCAATTTGTTGGGATGTATACTGCTTAAAAAAAAAAAAAAAAAAAAAGAAAAACATGACTTTTCTTATGTAAACTATCAAATGTTTATTTTATTTCCATTTAAAATATTTTCAAGTAAAAAATACGGACAAAAATACATATACAAAGCTTGAAGCAACTAGAAGCATGACGGGTATGCAGATACATAAACACAAATGAAATTAAATTCATTGCAAAATTGAGTGACATCATATTGCACAAAAATTTATTCGATACAAAAACACACATGTCAAGACTTTCCATCAGATGAAAACACTCTTATTTCATAGTATCTTACCACTCACACAAAGAGCCCATAAACACCATCTGGCAGTGTGATTGCTGTACCAGCACTCTCCCCAGAGGGAAATCATTAAACTGTAGAAAAATCCATTTTATTTCACATATCACATGATGGTATAGGCTTCAGTGCCAGAGAACCTTAAGAAACACAACACAATCCACACATGAAAGTCCCTTTGCACCATTTATATTTTCATAGTTAAATATCTAAATAATTCAGCACTCCTAATATGGTTGGAATGTAGACACAGAAAAGGAATTTTGCTATTTAAGAATTTAGCAATGTAAGACATTGTGTAGAATTTGTACAAAATACACACAGACCCCTTTACCAAGTTTTATCATCATACTGTCAGAGTGAAGAAACCCCACCACAGATGAAGACCATTTAGGATATTGAGGTTCATTCTTCCTCAGATCGCCTTCTCTGTTCCTGTATTTTGGATGACCGGGCCAAACACTGTTCCCCCTGCCCCTCAGTTAGGGGAATGGTACAAGGTCATGACAAATGCATTACAGATTCACGGTAGGGGTTAGAGCTGGTCTATAAATTATAGTTGAAACATAGATCAAAGAGGTGGCTGCCAGCATAACCCTCCAGAGGATTCTGACTACCATTTGTTCCACTGGTCTAACCTAATTCCGTGGGTGCAAATTATTGATGCTTGCCATATAGAATGTCAGAGGCATTTAAACACAATAATATACAGAACCTAATAATATGTTAATATGAACATACCAACACACATATTTGCTATCCCTTGATAATTGAAAAAAAAAAGTCACTGTTACTAGGCAGATTTAACACAAAGCTCACTAAATCACACCAAAACTAAATCCATTTTTATATAAAGTAAATACAGATATACATACAATAAAAAGACACAAAAAATTCATCATGAAATGAATTCTGAGTCAATAACTAAACACCATCTCTACCAGGGCATCACTACCATCTAATCCACTCTACAATAAGTAAAAAAAAAAAAAAAATTCTATGAAATCTGGAGTGAAATATTTGTCAGAAAAGTAGGACAAATTAAGTTTGTCAAGCATTTGGTACAAGAGGCCATTTGTCTTGCTTTTTTCTGACTTGTGCTTACTATAAAAACACAGGTAGCCAAATGTAGCATTAGTAAACACAACTACATGTCTGTTCACCAATTTGGCACAGAGAGAAGACTCTATATTTCATGGTACTAAGCAATGAACTCTTAACACATCCTTAATACATCTAATGCTTATGTTTGCAAAGTTCTCAAAATGTTGAGGGGTACCACTGAAAACTCATTACTATTACATTGCAACACATCTACAAAGAAATAGAAACTTGAGGCCCACGCCTATGTTCAAAATAACATTGGCCCCAAATATCCTAAAAGAGTAAAGTCATATGTCACTCTCTGTACATGAATAATGTCAAAAGAAGAATCCGGTTTTCAACATGTAAGTATCCACAGTTTAGTTCCAGATTTATAGCACTGGTAATACTATTCACAAGGGAAAACTATTAAGTAAAAAATTTCTCCAGGGAGAGGATCAAAAAAAAAAAAAAAATCCAAGACTACTTGAAATTTTTGGAGGACTCTTGTGGTTTATGTGATAACCGTAGATAGATACTGGGGTCTTTTTTTTTTTTTATTTTTGCTTCCAGAGCAATTAAAAAGTGCTATACTGTAGTGTTTGAAATCATTAAAACAACAGTAGTTTAATGTAGATCACTCATATGCTGTTAAAAGCATACATTCATTTGAAACAATCTGTTTTATTTGCCCAGAGTATTATTTTACTTTAAGATAATTTTCTTTATATTACATTAGTCAGTAAATGGAAATTTGGAATGGAGAACTTCTAGGGAAAAAATAATTCCAAAATCTTTTGAAATAAGACAGTTCAAACCTAGAACCAGGAACCACATTGCATTGCCTCCAGGTGTGATACAAATGAGCTTCTGAGGATGTACTGAAGACTGTTAACCTAGTAGGAGTAAGAGAGGTCTATCTTCACAGTCATCATCTAAGTCAAATCCCTCCCAACCCATCCAATTACCCAGATGTAACATCGAAAGGCCTAATACATTTACCCATAAGATTCTGTGCAAAGTACATTGTCACCCACGGTGCTCAAAATAGTCACTTCTGCAAAAGACGTAACTGTGATTCAGTCTTTTTTGTTTGTTTCTCTAGCTTTCAGCATGACCTTTAAAGACTTCAAGAGGTAATAAGGAAGGACTCAGCAAACAAGTCTTCTAACCAATAAATTAATTCGCTTGAAAGTCATACTTTAAAAAGAAGTCAGTAGTGTAAGTTACTGTGGCAGGAAAAACAAGTATGCTCACTTTCAAACCAGTGCATCCATCTGCATGTCTCTCAGATGCCTACCGCTCCACAGTTTTCTTGAGAGAATTTTTATCTATAAAATTGTTAAGGCTGTTACTGATACCATAAAGGTACCCTGTGTCCAAGTAGTTGAAATACACACATGTAATAGATAACTACTTGAGATAACCATCTCCCAGTGATATTTTAAGGCCAGTGGTAACAAAGAGAGGAGAGGTGAGGACTCCCAGGGAAGTAAATCAAGTGGCAGTTTCACACTAAGGATATCTAGGGTCATTGTATAAATTCAAATTAAGACTAACTCCCATCTCAAGGCTATCATGTCGAAATATGACCAAAAAAAAACAAAGGAAATCATTGATTCATTTAAAAGAAAAAACAGAAATGGTTCAAAAAGATCAAGCTAATATCCTTAGGAGGTTATAAAGAAGGACAATATCTCACAACATGGAAACCTGGTGAACTTTCTGTGAGACCAATACACCTTTGTGAATTTGTAGTGAATCTAAAAATAGACCAAGCATTTATTTTTAGACACCAACTAATTTGAAAATGCAACAAAAGGAAGTAAGGATTATCTTTAAAACTTGGCTGTTAAAATAACTTTTTAAGAACAGTACTAAAACTACCTAGAGGTTACACTTTTAGGTATTATATATATTGAGATACCTTTAAAATACTGTTTATGAGAACATTAACCTAAAATACACGTATAGGTAATAAATTTTTACCTTACATATAAATTATGTAAACAGAAGCTGTCAAGATGTCTCATTGTCTACTCTATATCTGCCACGAGTTCCTCGCCAGTTACACAATGTCATGCTTTAATTCCTGACTTTGAATTGTTAACAAAGTAAAATGTGACTCTGTAAAAATTATCAGCACTAACATACAGCATATCGTGTTGGGCAAAATGAAGAAAGATTACATTTAAGTAAAATCAGTCTTTTACTCATTTGCATTCAAATCCCAAATATCACTATATTTCTTTCCTAACTAAGAAAAAGAATTACAATTAAAACCCTATTTGTTGTTTTTCTATCATTCAGAACTGAATCATAAAATATGTCAAAAGTGAACTCTCTCCTTATATATCGCAAAATATATATTATGAGAAAGCCATTTATAATTATATATAGATACTTCAATTAACTCAAAACTTTATTATTTAAAAATGTATTCTATAAATGGCCCATGTTTATTTCTACTAGAAAAAGTAATGGAAGTTTATTTTACCATACTCACAGGGAAAGATGCAGAATTTGTAGGGCCAGAAATGTATAAAATTTTTCTGATCTTCTTCAAGAAAATTAATACACATTTCCTAATGCAACATTAGGTACAGGACCTTGGAAGGGGCATGTCTAAGTGAGGGGCACGGAAGCTACATTCCATTAGCTACTTGGGATATCCACTTATGCACAACAGACAATTAATTTTTAATATTTCTCTGACTATGCTGCATAATAAGTTACATCAAAATATCATTACTTCCAAATGAAGCGGGGGAAGTTGGAGGGGTAGACGAACCATGAGAGACGATGGACTCTGAAAAACAAACAGGGTCTGGAGGGGAGGGTGGGAGGATGGGTTAGCCTGGTGGTGGGTATTGAGGAGGGCACGTTCTGCATGGAGCACTGGGTGTTATGCACAAACAATGAATCATGGAACACTTCATCTAAAACTAATGATGTAATGTATGGGGATTAACATAAGAATAAAAAAAATAAATAAAATGAGATACCACAAAAAAAAAATATATATCATTACTTCCAGTCACAGGCTATCTTTCATTTCCTGCTACTCTGACCTTCAGTATTCTATCTTTTCATAACCTACACCTCAATTATAAGAAATCCACCATAGGTCAAAGATGCCTTCTTTCTTGGTTGGCATTACATTCATCTACAAATAGAGATAAAATAATGAGTTTCCTGAAGACTGATTACAGTTCATAAAAAATTAAGTTAAGTAATTATACTCAGGTTAACTATCTGTTAATATACCAGATAGCAACTGGGGAAACAATTTTACCAGGCATGTAAAATAATCCAGAAATTTGTTTCAACGTACATGTTTTAGTGTTGGAGAAACTGCCATGCATTGCTAATGTAACCTAATAACCTATTGTACTTTTGTGCCAGCAGAGATGGGGGAGAATACAGTATAAGCACATATGTATATGTGAACATTTATATTGGGTACTGGAGTCCGCCATCTTTTCTAGGGCAAATCTTTAATCTCCTGAAGAAAGACAAGAACAAGGTCTACTTCCAGCTGACCTAAACATTCATAGTAGTCTAGTTTTCCTCAACTGATCAAAGAAATATCTCAGAAAAATAACCTAACATTTTTAAAAGTGAGTCAAAAACATTTACTGAAATATTCCTATTGTGTAAGGAGAATCAGTTCATTTTTTAATCAAATTGTTTTAGCTTTGGAAGTCTTTACCAATCTGTTTAATCCGCAATTAAATACTTGAGACTCCATGTAACCCAAAAAGTAGTACATTTGAAAATAATATATTAGTTGTCTTAAACTGTATTGGCCACTTTTACATTTTGTGTTATAATAAACTCATAATATGTATATAAACATTTGAATATCCACACTGGTGCAAGTATATTGTAATGGTTTATATATAATTCTCTCCATATATAATTTTAAATATATGAAAAAAAATTTTACTTAGTATAAATAAAAATATATATATTAGTGTTCAGGAGAGTTTTCAAATAGAATTGCTTTGATGTGATACCATCTGAATAAAAATTATGAATACTGATTTCCTGATTATAGAAACTCTGCATCTTGTCATGATGTATCCTAAAAATAAGCTGAAGTACAACTTAATCTTTATTACTTTAAAATAAATTACTGACTGACTCCTGTCTGGCTAAAAGTGGTATTACAGTAGCATCAGAAATTTAACAATGCAAAAATCATTTTTGAAAATGATGGAAAAAATATGAGAATGTATCCTAGTTAGCTTTTATAATGTTATATTTAAAGAGAAATTAAAACAAAAAATAAAGAAATAAAATGAGACCTATCTGCCCCTGTAGTTATAAGCACATTACTCTCAGGAATAATCAAGAACTATGTAAACCTCTCCATGAGATTTTACCATTTTTTTTGTTAGACAAAACAAACAAACAAAAAAACAAACAAACCCCACAAAAACCCTTAAGAAGAGTTTGCTGGTTTATATTACATGGGCCTAGACTGCTAAAAAAAAAAAAGGGATATAAAGACAATCTATTTTTTTTTTACCTCAGCAACAATAGAATGGCATGAGATACAGACAAATGGATATAAGAAGCAGAGACTACAGATCAAATTTGAAAACCAGATGGTAAGAGAAAAAGGAAGGAATTTTTATAAATTCACTTAGAGACCCAAACACCAGGTTTGGCCGAAAATAGTATCAATCTTGGATGTGTATTAAATGTTATCAAGAGCAAAAACTGAAATTAGTGAATTGGAATTGCCTTAAATTCTAAATCATCATTTCTACTTCAGTCAATTTTCTATGAACCTATATCAGCTCTTAACGATTTTAATCAGTGCAGTTGTTTCAAAAATTGTTACTTTTAAAATTAGAGGATGAAACATACTCTCGTATGACTATTTAATCTTGGATGTATGTAAATAATAGTTTACACATTCCATCATTATATTACACTATATGAAAATTCCACAATATTTTCTAAACCTTGCATAAAAACACCTATCTGAATACACACACAGTCTCTCCTTTCAGTGAATTTGTTATCAGTTATCTCTTTTGCAAGTTGAATGATAATTAAGGTGAGGAAATTACTGACAAAGCTGAGATAAAGAAGTGGAAAATTTTAGAAACATCAGTTGTAAATCTTATTTAGCAGTGACATTTCTTCCTCAATTTTTATGTAAATATATGCCTTTTCCTAATTAATCTGGACAGTTTCATCTGAAGAGATATTTTAACAGAATATAAGATATATAAAGGAAATGTACAAACTGTCAAAATTTATCACCATATAAAAATAGCTATGAGATTAAAAAATTGCTCATAATTACTAACACTGCATATAGATATGATTATAGGGTTGGGCATAATATTTTGGGTATTCTCTTTCTTGTTGATTTCTGTCTTATATGGACATTGCAATTTGAAGATTTAAAAATGCATATATTTAGCTATATTACCAAGGGGTAAATTATTAGTGAAACAAATGATTGTCCTTAAGAGCCTTTAATACCAAACTGACTATTGCTTTGCTCTAAGAAAGATGTTACATCCTTTCCTGATCAAGTGGGCTTCCACGAAAACAAAGTGGCCCATAACTGTGGTGCTTCCTGATAATGAGTGAAAAAAAAATCTTAATCAATTATCGAAAATTTTTAGATATAATTCCTGTATTTTTCTCACAAACAATAGCCCCTGGAAACTCTTCTTTAATGTACTCATTAAAATTAGGCATATCCCCTCTGTCCTTTGTTCAAAATGCTCTGGGAATAATGCACTAAAAGATGAGTGATATCTAAGTTGGTATCTAAGGGGAAGCAATGCAATGCCAACATAAAATAAATTTCTTTCTTTCCTCAGTCCATAATGATGACGTATGGTTCCCCCGCCCCAGAAGAGTAGAAAACACTTTTCACAGTATAGTCATCTACAGTATATACAGATTGTTTCTATAAAAGCCATATATACAGAAAACATCTCGGTGTTCATGATTAGATGTTATATGGACCACTAAAGTAATTGTTCATTCGGTAGTCTATTTCCTCTAACTTCATGGAGGTATCAGGAATTCCAAAATCATGTGAACTCATGGAATACTTGCATAGCATATCTGCTTTCAATAACTACAAGGAGTTATAACTAAATTTCTTAGAAACCAACTTGAACACACTAAAATATACGAATAGCAATAACCGATTCCTTTAGTCCATCACCGAAGTTGCAATCTTTTGGATTTTCATAAAATGAAGTGAAGATCCACATTTTGTTTCAGCCCTTTGGGCAGAAACAAGGCCAAGCATAGATTGGCAAGATTTCAAATGCATTAATTCATAATTTATGACAATCTTCTTCTGGTACAACTTCCAGTATTATTTGTAATGTTCTGGTTATTCTGTCTACAAAGAAATAAAGAAGAGAAATTAAAAATGCACAGAACTCAGAAATGCGTAAAAACAGCAAAATGTGAATTATTTGGGGTTGAATACTGAAAACACACAACCGCATATTTCATAGAGCACTTTCAAGAATTATTTACTTCATTAAAATCCCATCATGCTCAATTAATTTATTTGTCACTTCTGTAACTTCCCATGATGGCTTCTCAGCAAGAATACATTAATATTTTGTATTCAAATAGGAATTTTTATTCATAAACCAGGAGGCTGAAAATATTTTGAGGCAATAGAACCAAGATATAAATAAATGTTCAAAAATACACTTCATATTCGGTTTAAAATTGGTTTGTTGTTTTAGTACCCATGAGATTAAAACCAATTCCTCAGAAAAATCAAAAGACTCATACTATAATGTCCAGTCTTAAACATGTAGCGTATTGGGGCACCTGGGTGAATCAGTCATTAAGCGTCTGCCTTTGGCTCAGGTCATGATCCCAGGGTCCTGGGATCGGGCCCCACATCGGGCTCCCTCGAGGAAGCCTGCTTCTCCCTCTCTCACTCCCCCTGCTTGTGTTCCCTCTCTCGCTGTGTCTCTCTCTGTCAAATAAATAAATAAAATCTTAAAAAAAAAAAAAAAAACATGTAATATTACTGAGTAAAACATGTTATGTCCCAGGGCCTTACTACCTCATCTGCAGAATGAGGGATTTGGGAGTGCCACCAGCAAGATGGAGGGCTAGGGGGTCCCAACACTTGCCTCCCCACCAAAAAAACAAAAACAAAAACAAAACAAAACAAGGGAACCAAAAAGTACCCCAAGAACAATAAATAAACAGCTATAAACTGAAGAAAACAAATCAGGGAAATTTCCAAACAACAAAGAAAAGGGAGCAAAAGTCTGGCAGAGCTAAAAAATTGAGGATGTCTGCATAGAAAAGTAAAGAAAGCATTTTGCCTGCATCATCCCATCCCCCAGTCAGAAGCTGAAAGACCCCAGCAAGCCTCGGTGTTGTGGATGTATGCAGCTTTTGCTACCGAGTTCTCCCACGGTCCTCCCCAATGACGCTGGTGTCAGCTGATGAAGCAGCCTGCAGCGCCCCCACTCTGCATCTGCTCCCAGAGGCTGGGGCTGTTGCTGAGGTGAGATTTGCCCTTGGGGGTCTTGGTTGTTGATATGCCCACTCTTAAGGACTGGGGGCTACAGCACATCACCATACACAAGACTGGAGCTGCCACAGTTCTTTGCCCACTGCAGCCCCAGACTGGGGCTTTGTCCCATAATTACCGAGTCAGCCTCTCCCCACTTAAGCCCTGCCCTCAGGGTCCCAAGTTACTCGTCGGCTGTCATTTTTGGGACTGTGCTGTTGCCCTGAGCCCTCCTCCGACAACTTTCCCAGGTCAAGACTCTGAGCTGTCATTGCTGAGATGGGCTCTTGCTGCCCTGATCCCTGTCCTATGGGTTCCAGGTCACAGCTCTGACCCACCATTGCTAGGGGCACTGACACTACCCGGAGCCCCTCCCCTCAAGTTTCACGTTGGGGTTCTGACCCATCATTGCTGGGACAAGGCTACTGCTGCCCTTAACCCTACCCCCCAGGTCCTGGGTTGCAGCTACAGAATGTCATTTGCCAGGGCAGTGCGGCCACCGCCCTGCGCCCAGATCCCTGGAGCCCTACACGTGCCTTAAACAGACTACTACCAGAGTCGTGCTGTTGCTATCTTGTGAGTGTACTGGTGCCAGGATTGAGACTTTCACCCACATCCTCAGGCTGTGCTACCATCACATCTTGTTATTCCGGGACTCTTGCCACTGCTGCATTCCCTCCTACCAGCACAAGTCACAGTGGTGAGTCTTTGAGACCCAGGTACCAGTTACATGGGATATCTGCATATTCCCACACTCTAGACATTAGTGCCGGAGCCACAGCCAGCACATCTATGCCCCAAGATCTAGGCACTGTGATAGTTCCACATGCACCTGAGCCTAGGATGCCAGCTCCAATCCTGCTCTGAGGGCTCTGAGTGTCAACATGACTGACCAGGTCAGCTGCCTCCCATGGGCAAAAAGATCCCGGTAAGGCTATCAGCAGATTTCTCAGCAGAAAACCTGCAGGGAATGGGATTATATATTCAAAGGGCTCAAAGAAAACAAAACAAAACAAAACAAAAAAACTGCCATCAACCAAGAATATTTTATCCAGAGAAGCTGTCATTAGGAAATAAAGGAGAGGTAAACCCTTTCCCAGACAAACAAAAGCTGAGGGAACTTAAAGCCAAGAGACCTGCCTACAAGAAATGCTGAAGAGAGTTCTTCAAGATAAATTATATATAGAGAGAGAGAAAGTAACATGAAAGCATAGGAAAGTAGAAAATTCACTGGTGAGGATGAATATATACTCAAATTCAAAATACTCTCATTTTGATCAGAGCAGAATTAAAAGAAATAGAGACAGAAAAACAACAGAACAAAAGCAATGAAATTAAGAACTGATTATTTGAATAGATAAACCTTTATCTACATTAACTAAGAAGAGGATTCAAAAAGTAAAATCAAAAGAAAGAGGAGGGGTGTTTGAGTGACTCAGTCAGTTAAGCATCCAACTCTTGATTTCAGCTCAGATCATGATCTCAGGGTGGTGAGATGGAGCCCCGCATCGGACTCCACACTGGTCATGCAGCCTACTTAAGATTCTCTCTCTCCCTCTCCTTCTGCCCCTCCACCAGCCCTTTCTCTCTCTCTGTCCCCCTTTCAAAAAAAAAAAAAAAAGGAGAGGAGACATTACAACTGATACCACGGAAATACAAAGGATTATGAGAGACTTCTACGAACACTTATATGCCAACAAACTGAATAATCTAGAATGGATAAATCCTAGAAACATATGCTCTCCCAAGATTAAATCAGGAAGAAGTAGAATCTCAATAAACCAATATCAAGTAGGGTGATTCAATCAGTAATAAAAACCTCCCAACACAGAAAAGCCTAGAAATAGATGGTTTGCACTGGTAAATTCTAGCAAACCTTCAAGGAAGTATTAACATGAATCCTTCTCAAACTGTTCCAAAAAAATTCTAAAGGGAGGAACACTCCCAAACTCATTTTATGAGGCCAGCATTATGCTGACACCAAAGTCAGACAAAGACATTATAAGAAAAGAATATCATAGACTGATATTCCTGATGAATATAGATGCAAAAATTCTCAAAAATATTAGCAAGTAAAATTCAACAACACAATAAAAGGATTATTTACCTGTGGTCAAGTGGGATTTATCTCTGGGATGCAAGGATGCATGAAACATATACTGGAAGTCCTAGCCAGAGCAATTAAGCAAGAAAAAGAAATAAATGGCACTCATATCAGAAAGAAAGAAGTAAAATGATCTCTGTTCACAGATGGGTGATCTCATATTCAGAAAACCCTAAAGACTCAACTAAAAAAAACTGTTTTAACTATTACATGAATTCAGTAAAATTGCAGGATACAAAATCAACATATAGAAATCAGTTGCATTTCTATAGAGTAACAACAAATTATCTGAAAGAGAAATTAAGAAAGCAATTCCATTTACAATAGCATTGAAAACAATAAAATACTTAGGAATAAATTTAACCAAGGGGTGAAAGACCTGTGTTCTGACAATTATAAGACATTGATGAAAGAGACTGAAGAAGACACAAATAAATGGAAACATATCTCATGTTCCTAAATTGGAAGAATTAATATTGTGAAAATGTCCATATGACCCAAAGCGATCTACAGATTCAATGCAATCCCAATCAAAATTCCAATGACATTTTTCACAGAAATAGGACAAACTATCCTAAAATTAGTTTGGAACCCCAAAAGACCCTGAATAGCCAAAGAAATCCTGAGAAAGAAGAACTAAGTGGGAGGCATTGCAATACTTGATTTCAAGCCATATTACAAAGCTACAGTAATCAAAACAGTATACTGGCATAAAAAGAGGCACATACAGGAATGGAATAGAGAGCCTATACACATAAATCCACATACATAAGAATGAAACCTTAGCTTGGACCTCTACCTTACATCATTCACAAAAGTTAACTCAAAATGGATCAAAGATTTAAATGTAAGACCTGAGATCATAAAATTCCCAGAAGAAAATATAGGGGGAAAGATCCTTGACATTGGTCTAGGCAATGACTTCTTGGATAAGTCACCAAAAGCACAGGCAATAAACACTAAAATAAACAAGTGTGACTATACTAAACTAGACAGCTCTGCACAGCAAAGGAAACAATCAACAAATTGAAAAAATAACCTACTGAATGGGAGAAAACATTCACAAATCATGTCTGATAAGGGACTCATAACCAAAATACATAAAGAACTCAGACAACTTAATAGCAAAAAAAGAAAATAATCCAATTAAAAATGAGCCAAAACCTGAATAGATATTTTTTCAAAGAAGACCTACAAATGGCCAACAGGTATATGAAGAGGTGTTCAACATCAGTAATTACCAGGGAAATGCAAATCAAAACCATAATGTGATATTACTTTACACCTGTTAGGATGGCTTTTATCAAAAAGACAAGAGATAACAAATATTGGTGGGGATGTGAAGGAAAGGGAACCCTTATACACTATTGGGTGAGAATGTAAATTGGTATAACCATTATGGAAAACATAATGGCAGTTCCTCAAAGAAGTAAAAATTGAACTACCTATGATCCAGCAATCCTATTCCTGGTTATGTGTGCAAAGAAGTTGAAGTCAGTGTCTCGAAGGATTATCTTCACACCTGTTGATTGCAACATTACTCACAATAGCCAAGATATGGAAACAACCTAAGTGTTCATCAACAGAAAAATGGATAAAGAAGATGTGATTATGGAATATATTCAGCCATGGTAAAAAGGAAATCCTGCCATTTGCAACAACATTATGCTAAGTGGGATGAGTCAGACAGAGAAGGACAAATACTGTATAATGTCACTTACATTACAGAATCCAAAAAAAAATGAACTTG